TTGGTGGATTGCCGTTAATGCATTAAGCATGGCTTCTCTCTGACAGACTCATTCTGAAGAATGGCGCCCCTGGACTTTTGCCTAGTGGGGAGTTGCATTTCCTTGAGGAGGTTTTTCATTTTTGCATAATATGGAAGATCAATTGTTTCTGCAAAGGCACCGATCCACATAGTTGAGGCTCCTTTCCAAGTTTCAGTCACACAAATTATAAACCATGTAATTTAATCAGATAAGACCAGAGTTTCTGCCAAGACTCTATTTTACTGTTTTTTTCCTCCTCAGCCTCGTCAAACGTAAGGCATTTTAAAGTGGAGGGGAGGATGTTGAGTGTGTGGCTTCGAAGCAGTCGCGTTCTTCTCTCATCTCGGGACGGAGTTCTGTTGCATTTTATCGAGTTTGAATCACTCAACGGCTCTTTTCCAGGTACTTCTGCACAGATTATGATGCTGGCTGATCTGTTGCATCCGATGTGCAATCCCGCCCCGACTCCTTTTACCTACCGGGTGTAGAATGCATTTACTCCTGCGCTGCTATCAGCAACCCCACAGGAAGCTACTCCCCCCGTAAGCAAATCCCAACTAAAGAAATCGCTGTATTTTTCGAGGCACTGACTGTCCGCTGAAGGTGAATTTGTTTTACACCGTTACAAGTCACAGAATGCAGTTTGACTCCAGCAATAAACTGAGGTAAAGATGGCAAAAATGACCACGTCATGACGCCAGTAGTTCCAGAAGTGGATCCAGAGAGCAACTCGTTCCTGCCCACCTCGTCTCCCCCCTCCCACTACTCTCCCTCTCCACGTCTCCCCACTCCCACTACCCTCCCTCTCCACGTCTCCTTGTTGCCTTTCCTCTTCCCTGCCACCTCTCTGCTTCCCGTCTTCCTCCTCCATTTTCTTTTTCTTTGCCCGCCCAGCCTTGCTTCGTCCTTCCTTCTCCTCCTTAGTCGCTCATCGTCTCCTTTCCTCCGTCTCCTCTCCTCCTCCTAATCCCCTCTCCTCACTCACAGACACTTACACTTGTAATTCGCAGCCAGATCCGTCGCAGTCAAAGCTGCGATTTGAGTCGCCAGCGACAGGGCGGATTAGCGCTGGAATCCTGAGTGAAGGAACGTCTTCGCTCCACTTGATAAATTTCCTCCCTTCCTGAATGTGTGTGTGTGTGTGTGTGTGTGTGTGTGTGTGTGTGTGTGTGTGTATATTTGAATCCAGGTAGTTTCTTCCCTGCCTTAATCTCAGAGCGCCTCATCAAAAAGCAACGCTAGGGTTCCTAATGTGCTCGGAGAGCGTGGTGCTCATGTTTTTATTCGTAGTCAAAAGGGTTAAAAGCCGATTAATACCTCAGCCTACTCCGATAATAATAATAAGATTACTCGATTTCTCTATAATATTCAACAGATATGAAGAAAAACCTCCTAATGTGGAGATAATGCAGAATTAATTAACAAAGATGCCAATTATATAATGTAAGCCTGAAGGCGCTTGTTGTTCGATGGCCTACATCTGCCAAACCCCGAGTGTTCAAAGATTACCAGCCAACGTGTCAGCGGAGCGCTTGTGTTTTGAATCCGATTACTTTTAATTGAAAGCAATCTGCAACGATCACATGATGGGAATTTCTGAATATTAGTTCAATATAATTCAGGTGAGCGAAAGTCCAGGATCCGCCCTGACACGAGACGCAAGACAAGTTCCACTGGAGCAGAACTTTAATAGTGATTTTGATGATAAAATTCAGTTTTTCCCCCTCACTGTCTTCCACTGAGGACAGCTTCTTTGATGGGATTTGGGCGAGTCGGGGAGGCTGAGGGAAGAAGTGGAGGTTTGAGTAACAGCCCTTCATCTGTGTCATTTAAACAAACTGTCATCTGTCACCAAAGACCTCTCAATCTTCTTCTTTAAAAGCTTCAGCTGAGGATGGAGCTCCTGTCCTCCGCCGTGCACAACCCGTCTCATGCAATCTTTGGCCATTTCATTAGGAGATCCAAAGTGATGGGTTGTCTGAAAGCTGCTGCGGAAACAAAGCATCAGATAGTGTCAGGATGTTGATGAGTTATTCCATCACGCCTTGTAGTTCGGCCTCAGCCTCAGAAGATGCATCTTTCCTTTCATCAGGCATTGTTTCTGAATGATTGAAGTCAATTGTTTTGTATGGAAATTCCATATAAAAGTACTTAAATAGGAATAAAAAACGGACATAATGAAAGCTCCTTCAAGTACATGTATGTGCTTCTATAAATGGTTCACTGCAACTAACAGTTTTTGTCATTGTTTAGTCTATTAAGTATTTGCTATTTGCATAGTTTGATCAAGAATAAGTTGATTGATTCATCAGTTAACTAAATGATCAGTTTTATTTTTTATAAAATTGTCAATTGTTTGTTTCAACACTACCTTTAAATTACTGCACTATATAATGGGGGGTGGAGGGGGGTTGATGCATGGAACATAAACAGGAAGTGGCTCAGCAGTCTGACTGAATCAATGAGTTGATTGTCAACACTTAACAGAAAATGCTAAAATCCCGTTTGTCTACACAAGGTGAGGATTTGATGTTTTTTATATTGTTAATGGAATGCTTTTAGGTTTTTGACAAACCTCCCAATATTTTATAAAGTTGGAGAGTAGAAAGTGGTTAGTAAAAAATAGCCAGCAAGTAGATCAATAACAACAAATTTGATTAGTTTCCGCTGTAATCAGCAGTAACGTCGGCTCACTGGAGGGAAGAACTGTGGCTCTGTCACTCTTGGCCGATACCCGTTCTGCTTAATCAGGTCAGTATTGGCGCCAATGGATTGAATCACACACAGACAGGGATGTTCATGTGCAGCCGCACTCATATCAGACCATGAACACAGCACAGCGGCACCTCTGCGGTGCTCGCGCTCTGCCTTTCCTCTCCATCTCGGGCCAATGTGCTCTTCTACCTACGTGGAGTCTTTGGAGACGGGAGCTCAGACAGCGCCTCCTTGTTTACCCCCATGAGTTGTTGACCCTGCTGGGGCCGCCGCCATGTCAGAGCGTGTCAGGAGAGGCCTGCGACGGATTAAAAAGCATCAAAACTTTGTGCGTGAGTGGCTGTCAAAGAGGGGTGTGTGTGTGTGTGTGTGTGTGTGTGTGAAAGCCCCGTTGGTTCAGAGCTCCTCGTCTCTGTAGGAAGCCCTTTTTCAAAACATCCCATTATAGGTGTGAAGGATTAGAGTTACACTAATTACCAGGTTATGAATGGCATTATATCTCCCTGCGGTTGCAGAACATCTGTGATAATAGCAGTGTTTTTATTCAAATATGAAGATACGCCAGCCAGCTTTTTATGATGAACGTGCCGTGAAAGCTTCAGTCTCCATTGCTCCGCCGTGAAAAATGATTTTGGTGGAAGTAGCACATTTAGTCTTATTACAAAGACTGTCAATAGATTAAAAAGATAAAAATTGACTAATTAATCACATATTTTGAAATTCATTAATCTCAATTAATGTTGTTGTTTTTAATGAATGTTTGTTTTTCTTCTAAAGACTAAATCTTAAAAGTAATGAGTAATCAGATTAGTGTGTATTTTAGACACAAAACTACACACATTTGATCATCTTGGAGACAGAATCCCAGCTGGTGGAACATGTTGAACTAGCGACTCTTCCTGTTGTCCTCGTGCACTTTGCTCTCAACTCTCCATCATTTAACAGCTGTGTTTGAAGTCCAACAATCTCCCCACATTTAGCAGGACGTTTTCAAACCACGGCCACAGTGGTGGTCCTCTGCAGACTGCGTGCCGCGCAGGGTAACGTTAGATGTTGAGATGGAAGTAGCGTAGCAGATAGCTTAGCATAATCTCTGTTTTACTTCTAATGCAAAAAGTAAACAAACGTACGTTAAAACATTCCATAAATCTCAGCCAAATCTGCCGGTTATGGCTTAGAAAACACACCGGTAATTGCAGGGTTTTTAAAGATCCATGGGAAAAATAAGGGAAAATTGTTGTATTAATGAGACAATATGGTCAACCATTGCAATACCAGTTAGTAATTTCCACCGAACGGTATGGTACGGGTCGGGTCTGTTAACCATGATTTGGCGAGCGTTTCCACCGCCAACAGTACCCTTACTTGATAGGCGTGGTGTATAACGGAAAGTAGATTGACGCCATTCGATCGCGCGAAAACTGAAAGCTAACCGCAAACAACAATGGAGGACGTACAGCCGATCCTGTTCTTGCTCCTCGATATGTGGCTATTAGTCACAAGGAGACGACAATCTTTGTTTGAGCAAAGGCTACATGCTGTGTGTTACGTCTGTTGTCTTTCCCCTTGCGACACGCGCAAATGACGACACTCTTTCAACCAATCAACGCTCTTCTCTGCAGAGTCTAGCTCCACCCTTTAGTACAAAACAACTGTGCCAGGTACCCCAACGGAAGGGTACCCAAAAAGTGGTACGGTTCGGATTTTTGGTAGCAATCTCAACTTTGCAGTGGAGACACAAATAAAAGGGTACCGTACCGTACCGCCTCGTAAAGAACTTGCTTGTCATGGTAATGAGGCAGATCCCATGTAACGCACACAGGGAATTGAAGTGACACAGTGGGGGGTGTGGAGGGGAGAAGAGTGAGAGCTTGGGAGGCAGTGAGACTGGAAGGCCTCCAAATGTTCCACTCTGGAATATCTTCAAGGACAATCAGCTAAACAGTTGATATTAAGAGCGCTGTGTCTAATCGATGGCTCAAGGTGTTATCTGCAGAACTGGCTGGTAATTAGTCACAGCTAAAGGAGCGTTACAGAGAGCGAGATGGATTTAATCTTAATAGATTTCCCTGCACTGCAGCTACAGTGGCTCCTGAGTGAGTCCCACCCCCCTCCCCAAAAGATCAGAAAAAAAAGGAGTACGTAGCAGTGGTGAACATCCGCTGCTAAATTTGCCCAAACTTTCAGATGGACGTTGCGAATGGAATCAGTAAGCGAGCGCTGCCCATTTAAATATAAGTTGTTTTCTGTGATTTTTCGTGCAGAAACTGAAGCAGAAGAACCAGCAGTTGAAGCAGATCATGGACCAACTACGCAAACTCATCTGGGAAATCAACGCCATGCTGGCGGTCAGGAGCTGAGACACACACACATTTACTATAAGTGATGGACGGGAAGATTTGGTCATTAACTGGACGTGTGACAAGGTACCGCTGCACTTTAAAGAAGAAATTGAGACATTGGCAATATCAACCCGTTTCCAGAAGACATGAAACAATAGATGAAAAACCAGCGGAGAAACATGAGAGCGAAATTAAACGGAGGGAGAGAGGAGGTGAGGGAGGGAGGGAGGGAGAGAGGAGGTGAGGGAGGGAGAGAGGGTGGAGGGAGAGAGGGAGGAGGGGAGGGAGGGAGGAGGTGAGGGTTGTGTGGCAGATGGCAGACCACATTGTGTCGAGTTCGATATCCTGCATTTCAATCAACATTAAGTTTGACGTAATCTGAAGAGTTGCTATATTATGTTTTATCTATTAGTAGGTACAAGCTCAATAAAGGGTTTGTGCCTGTAGACACGTTGATATATTATATTTAATTCTGCTAATTTCTTTGTATTGGACTTGTTTGAAGCCCGAAATTAGAACCCTTTTTATGACACCTAAACACTTTATTTTGACACGTGTCTTTCTTATTAATGAGTCTTATTCTTGTTCATCTGCCTTTTTAAATTTGATGTAATATCTATTCTCTGATTGGACTTGACATGTCAATACGATGCCTTGTTAAGAATTCTGCTAAACTATAAATGTTGCTGTCATTTCTTTAAGTTTGGTTTTACAGTTACAGTGAGGAATAAATGGCCTCAGTCCAAAGGTAAGAACAAATCTTCCCATCCCTTTGTTAACTAAAGATATTTCCTAAATACTGGCCAGGCCTGATTTTTGATGGAGTATTTAATCTCTGTAAAATATATGAAATTTACGTCTGAGTATGACAGAAATGTGTTATGAGCGTGTCGTCCTGAGGGAGGAAGAACAGATTCAGCAGCGGAGCAGCCAGAGTAAAAAACAAAGCCCTAATCCGTGCAGTAATGAACCCCTCCTGAGTGGGGGGGGCTGTTACATCACCGTGACGGAGTACGTTATCACTCGGCACACAGGTCGGGCCGAGCGCTTGTCCATGCCACAGAGACAGTGTGCTCGTTACACCGTGATGTTCGATCAATGTGCCTCTGGTGTCTGAAGAGGGAGACGCGAGCAGCAACGTCAGTGGAGGGATGACGTCTAGTAGATGAAGATTTGAGAACCTCTCCAATGGGCAGACCCAATGTAGGATGTTTCACATTTTAAATGATTACATAATGTGCAATGTCATAAAGATGTATTGCGTAATAATTAATAACATTTAGATGTTATGTTTGACATTGAAGGCATTACAGTCTATTAATAAGCCTGTTTTCTAATCAGTAGGTTTAAAGCTGGATTCATATTCCGCCACAATTTGTTAATCAAATTAGTGACACAAGTCCGACGTTTTATGTGAAGATCAGCGACGATAATGTACAATCATTTAAAGCAAAACAGTCAACTTATGCTGGTTGAGAGAACTCATCGCTCTTTCTGCAACCGGAGCCCTCATTTGATGAGAAAAAAAGAACTACGGCTGCTATCAAGCACCAATTACAGCTCAAATACAGAACTGACTTGTACTATTTGATGGTATCGCAAAGTGCAAAAGTGCCTCCACCAGAGGACGATATGGACGGAGAGCCAGCACTGTAGTGTGTGTGTAGAGAACAGATTAAAAAAAACATAATTTGTATGTCAAACTAACTTTTGTGTACGTTATATTTTATACTATTCCACATACAAAACGGACATCTTTTGAAATACTATGTCTTGTTGCAAGGCCTTTTTTTTTGTTTTGTTTTAATAGTATGCTATGATTTTTATAACATACTATGCTAATTACACAGTACTACTTAGACTAATTATATTTAAATGAGTTTGTTTTACTCTATATGAAATATCAGCCATTGATGACAACACAATATCAATAGAGTAATCTCACTTGTTGACTCGGCGGGAGGCTCTTCACATGCAGGTTTGTGCTGGTTGCAGCGCTGTGTTCACTGTAAGGGAAGAAGAAAGGGAGACGTTAAGATAATGCTTAATGGTTTTAAGAGGAAATCACTTCTTTAAAATAGTAAAAACTTACCACCAGCCAATCACAGGCTCAGTAGGGCGGGTCTTTGGGAGGATAAATCATTGACTTAAAGCATATTACACTTCTTTTATAATATACTTTTTTTATGAAAAGTTCTCTAACATTGAAACAGTATCAAAAAAATAGGACAAGGCGAAGCAGTTATCATCAAATATGAGTTTATTTATTTTTTTTATAAATCATTCTTACAAAATTGGCATTTATCTATTTCATTTGTGACCTCTATAAAAGTCTTCTGTTAATTACAAGGTAGGAGGGAGGAGAAGGCATCGGGGCAACGGATCAACAGACGCGACTGCTGATTGGTAAAGCGATGCGGCCGATTCACTTATAAATAATCCCAAACAGGAAGTGGTCGTACATTGTTGCCTCGGCAACCGTGTCCAAACACCAAGATGAGAGCGCTGCGTTTTAATACGGGAAATGGAAGCGGCGAATTCACCAGTGTGTGAAAGGCTGGGCTGTTGGGGGGGGGGGGGGGGGCGTTCGGGGCCCTTCCTGCCCGTCTACTGGAATCAACAAGTCCGGGACAGTCAGTGCTCGGCATGTCAGGAACTCACATGTTGATAAAAAGGCACAAATCAAGAACAGGCGAGTCTCCAGCTCACTATAAACACCAAACCGACTGGCGACATTTTGGGTAAACCTTCTTCCATCTGGTTCAAAGCACAGAATGATAACTTTGCATAATGTCCCCCCCCTCAATCAAAACGGAAGCCAAGGTTTTTCCGGTGGCCCGGAGTTCCAATCATCAAGCTTTTGATTCTGGGGTCGGAGCATGTGCACTGCCAAAAAAAGGGTGAAGAGAGCTGCTCCTGCCAAGTTATCTGACCTGAAACCAAGCTTAGGATACACAACAGTGTCATAGCCTCACATCAATCATTGTAATGCATTGGGGGGGGGGGATGATACAACTGAATCATAAAATGTTTCCATCTGGTCCAGAGGACCCATCTGCTTATTATTTTCCGCGAGTCAGTTGCCGTGGTCTTTATTGGGACTTTGCAATTTGACTCCCGCGGAGAGCCGGGATTGTGCGTCCCGATCCAATTCTAGATCACTGGTGAGTGCGAGCTTTTAGAGTCAACACTCCACTTTATGTCTCCGAACATTTTCCATCTCTTGTGGGGGATTCTGTCTGAGGAAGAGCTGCGTTTCCCCCCCCAAAAAACAGCGCAGAGTGAGACGTAGCGTGAGTTTGTGGATTAATGTGCACAGCGTGCAGAAAATAAACTGAATAAATACCATTAGCTCCCCTCTCATGACTCGTACGCGGTGCCTGTTGTTTCTTCTTTCTCACACATTCAATATGTGCCTGTGTAGTCACGAGGATGGGGTTTTTCATGAAGGATCAGCGACTGTGGTGGTTCTCTCGAGATGACACAGACACACACACACGGATTCAAACGCTCGGACATGAAGGGCTTGATATTGAATTGAAACAATACGGTTGTGTGAACGTGAAACGGGGACCAGATGGAGGAGCGCTGCTCTCCCAGAGTCACGTACAGCTGACGTGACTCCACATTAAACACGTCGTAAATCTCTCCCGGCAAACAACAACACTCCCAACTTCCCAGAACGTAAACACAAGCATGATATTCCAAGCAATGAGGGAACAAACACACGTACTTGATAGTCCGGCTGTTTGATACGTGCTGGGACAGAGCAGCTCTGCGTTGGGAGCTTTTGACCAGTGTCAAATGAGAGCACTTCAGAGCACGAAACAAGGCGACAAACGTGGACAAATCAATGAAAAAAACGTGAAAAAGACAACCATTCATCAACAGACCCAACGTACGCACGCACACACACACACACACACACACACACACAGAGTTTTGGCTGAATTACTAGTCGACAGAAAGGCCACTACAGGCTTGCTGCTTCTTTCGAGTTTTCCGCAGACTGAATGTGAGACGCAGACGGGGAGACAACAGCTCCGTGTGCTCGTCCAATACCAACAAGGTAAAACAAGGCGCTAAAGGTCAGGCGCTTTGCCGGGGACACGATGGCAAAGTGAAAAGCCGTTTTTATTAAGGACAAATCGGGGGGGGGGGGGGGGGTTGTGTTCGAGCATCAGCTAGAAGGTCGTGTTTGTGGGTCACTGCTTTCACAACACAATGGTCCATAATGTGGGGACCCGTGGACAGCTTGTCTCCCGGGAATAAAACAGCACTCCAAATGAAATAGAACAACATAATTGAAGCCCGAACGCATCTCTGCCTGACAAATGGGAGAGAGGAGCTTTTGTCAATTTAATGGCTCTGAGGTCCTCTGATATGTCACGGAGAGAAATAAAATAAATAAATCACCGTGGCAGGAGAGCTGCACTGGACTGACGGGCAGAATAATTCAGCGCGGGAGCATCTAGGCATCACAGACTGATGGAGGCGACGTGAAGTGCAATAAAAAAAAAAAAGAACTTCCCCGACCCGATGTCAGAACGGCACCGAAAAAAAATCACTCTACAAACACTCGTGTGAAATGGAGCCGGACGCTGGTCACTAAAGACCTGCTATGGACAGAAATTTCATTTCCTCGCTGCCAGGACGGTGCTGCAGGGCGTCGCAGGGAGAAATAAACGGGCACGAGTCCGGGTTAGAATGCAACGTTCTGCTCCATTTCATCCACAAATGTTCATTTCGCTCATTCCACGGAGGGAAAATGTACTCCGCTTGAGCTTATGGTTGGATGAGCCAACTTTTCAAGGTTCTTTACACACAGCACGCACAAATGTACACAGACACACACACACACACACACACGAGGGAAAGTACGGAAAGTTTAAAGGGGAAAATAAAAGATGATGAAAGTAAGATGAGAAAAAAGTACAACTGTCGTGGCCGGCGTGAGAGGAAAATGGGATGTGAAACGTGATGTTTTTCCAGCTCATCTTAGCGATAACGGACGCAGATGGGCCGTAATAAAAGCCGTATCAGCGCATCTAGGAAGGAACCGAGGAAAGGAAGGACAGGATGTTTTCAGGCTCAAGGATGTGCGTTGACACACAAGAATTTCAACAGATTATGCCGCCTTTGCAATAAAGACAGTTTGGACATTACTGTTGACCTCTTTCGCCTTGAGGGGGGCGAAATAATAAAGCGCTTACGCCGTGATGTTCAACCCCTCGGTACAAACGGTCCCCAGTGACACCAGCCGATCTGTACACAAATCAAACCAACCGAAGAACAGGGTGCCCCGGGCCATAAAGCAGGGGTTTTGGTTACATCCTGATGCAGAGTGGCGGGGGTGGCGGGGGTTGCTAGGGGCGACCAGTGGGATTCACGATCTTGGGACACCTTCCCTCTTCTACCGTCCTGCAGGGAGGTCCTCCAGCTCCACGTCGTACAAAAAAATATATCCTATCCAAGAGTTCTTCTCACGTCCGCAAAACACGCGGCAACTGTTGTGCGCGTCCGTCAGTTTGCCTGTCTGTGTTTGCGCTTGTCGCCTGTGTCTTCTCGTGTCCGAGCGCCATCCGCTCGTCTCCTATGCGTCGGTGCGCCGGGCGGGAGACGGAGCCGCGTGGCCCCCCCGTCCGCCCCGCCGGGGTCCCGCTCGTCCTTCTGCCCTCCACAGAGTCTCTCTCCCGCGTGGGGTCGCCCCCGGGGGGGCGCCGGTCCTGTCAGAGCCTCTCGATGTCCCTGTATTTCTTGCGGAGGATGGAGACCTGGTCCTTGAACAGGATGGGGTCCAGTCTCATCCGGGAGTGGACCAGCGGCATGGCGCCAAACCAGCTGGCGAACTTGTTCATGCAGGTTTGCCGCTGGGCAAAGTGGTCGGGATCGGCCCAGCGGGAAGCTCTCGAAGACTGCCGGGAACGGGGAGGGAAAGAAAACGGGTTAAGTGTCGCGGCACAGCGAGGCGTTAATGCTTGGGAGCAGCGAGGCTGAAGGACAATAGTCACTCACACTACGACTACTGATCTGACCAGCCAATGATAAGGGACAACCACTTGTAATAAGATAAGACGATGAACCGTTACTACCTAAGAGCAGTTAAGGTTGAAATAACTCAAAGTGTTGGATTACTGTTTCCATGACTACCCCACAGGGAGCGATAAATAAAAAGCAGCATAGGAGTCCGGTCGGATACTGAGACACGCGTCTCTCAACAGGCAGCGTGTTAAAAAGGGACAAGAAGGTGCTGAAGACGCTCGTACCTGTCCCATCATGGTCTCCTTGTACTGTTTCTTCTGTGTGACCTTGATGGGCGGCAGCTTGGTGACAGCGGAGACCAGGAAGTTCATCAGTATGTCCTCACAGTTGGCCAGCTGGTCCACCATGCCTTTCAGACTAGTGGGCAGGTAGTTGGTGTACAGGTGATGGTAATACCTGCCAGAGAGGAGAGAGAGAGTTAAAATGTGGGAGGAGTGAATCGTGGACTTAAGATTTTATACTGATAAAAAAAAAAAAAACGCTGGGCTGTGATCAAAATTCACGACTCGTGATCAAAGAATATTGACCTTATTAACTCAGCATGTCTACAGACTAAATGAAGGTCATTTTTGGTTTAATGCCTGAATAAACGCCACACTGGAGTGGAATAATTCCAGCTTCAGACCATTAAAGGTGGACGAGGAGCAGCACTCGTCAGCCGTTTGCGCTGCATTTGAACTCAAGCCTCAAACACCTTGACACGTGGAAGCCTTCGGGCAGGACTCTGTCCGTCCAAACACCGATTGAACTTCCAGGACGGATTGAGCGGCCGTCTCGCTGAAGATGATGAAGCGCTTGGCTGCAGGGATTCGCCGCTCGCATCGCAGCTGAGGGAAGCCACATTAGAGCTGACAGGGCCGTTGTAGAACTAAACGCAGGGACTATGAAACGCCGTGTAGCTGACAAATTGTCTTTTTTAGGGGGGGGGGTAAAACATACCCAGTGTCAGATCAGCGATTTCCTTTGCAACATTGAACAAGGCGCCTGCTTTCATAATCTGCAGCTCTCTGCAGCTAAAGCATTCTATCAAAAGCAAAGCTGGGATCCCTGCTGTGACGGGAGAGGGGAGGGGGGGGGGGGGGACCAGCCCATCAGAGGACGAAGAGTCCCACCTGTGGTAGATGGCGGCGCCCGTCAGCACCATGGAGTAGTCGTTGGTCCATTTGGAGGTGTAGCCCCAGCGCTCCTTGTTGCCGTCCCAGAAGTGGCTGCGGGCGGGGTAACCCACGATCCGCTCCGGGAAGCTCTGCCACACCGTGAAGGCAAAGTCCACCTGGAAAAGCACACAGAGCAGCTGGTGAATCGCGGTTTCCCAATGCTTCACTTCAGGCATGATCTCTTTTACGCGGCGTTGATCCGGCGCCGACTACCATGACCGGGTGGGTCGAACAGTCCTCCAGCAGCCAGATGCTTGTCTTCATTTTTTGGAGGATTAGATTTATTGATTGCTGATGATAAAATGTTTTTATATTTAAAAAGGATACAGGATCCCACACTGTCGTTTTACTTTAAAGTAACCTTTATTGATAAATACAATTCATTGGAAGCTCTAATTCTCTTTTTTGAAAGTTCCTCCTTCCTGCCTGATCACAAGAAATTGAAGGTGTTCAGTTTACACAAAGCAAGAAATACATCCTTTGAATTGAGTTAAATCGCATATTTAAGGAATACGTTGTTTTTGACAAAAATGAATCCAAGAGGGAAAGGAAGAGAAAACAGGAAGAGCACTCAAACAAACCCGAGTGGAAATACTGCAGCAAACCTGTGTGGCAGCGATCAAAGCTTTCAGAAGGGGCTCAGCCTCCCGCCGCATATCACCACACCATCACACACAGATATTAATGAATCCTGGTGCCTAAAAGCCCAGCACATCATTTGTACCTGCTCTTCCTGCACGGCTTCGGGCCAAAGAAGAAGAGGAGAGCTCAGGAGAAAGGTATTTGAATGACGAGGCGGCCGCAAAGGAAAATACATCTTTATTGCAGAACTAAGAGAAACGGGCATCTGGGACAAAAACAAACAAACACGGACGTTCACTGTGGATGCCATGTTTGTGTGCAATCTGCCTGCCACCGTCCTCACACGAGGGGGAATGAAGCGGTCGTGTTCTTGTGGACGGGCTCGAATCTGCGTTGGTATTATTTTTTTAATATGTAGTGCATTGATGTTTTTTTATTCATGACCAGTCTTTCATGGATAAAGCGCAGGTTTGTTTTGGGAGGCTGGCGTTTTTCTTCTCTTAGCGCCAGCTCTGCCTTTCCACCGCGATGCTTCGTGCAAACAGCGTTTACGAGGTCGCGCTCTGCGCCGTTCAAAGCGGCATCTGCTTTCCCATGGTGCCGAGCCAAAAAGCCTCTCGCTGGGAACCGAGAGCAGGAACAGTCCCCAAAGCACGAGGAAGTAAAATGCCCACAACAGCGTGAACACAGGCGGCCACACATGGGGCGGGAGGGAAGCGGGCGAGAAAGGGAAGGGGAGGAGGACGGAAAGAGGGCGAGAAAGGGAAGGGGAGGAGGACGGAAATGTTTTTTTTTCCTATTTCAAAATACCTCTGTGGTGGACAGCACCGTGTCCTCATCCAGGCTGAGGACGGCGTCGGTCGAGATGGTCTCGTAGGGCAAGAAGCGGCTGCTCATCACCTGCACGGGGAAACACAAAGCAGCAGCGGTTCAAGCCACACGTCACTAACAAGACGCCTCCCGCAGCATTCACTTGTCTGGAGTTCTGCAGAGAGAAATGTGGATCTGAAGGTTGTGCAGAATGTCTGAAAAATTAGGAAAAGGAAAAAACATGTCTTCTACAAACTGACGGTGCAGAGGCGGGGAAGCCAACGTTTCCATGGAAACATGGTGGGCTCCATCTCGTCCTACATTTGCAGGTTGTCTCGAGGGTTTTGTTCCATGTATGGACATTTTTATTCCTCGTCTTGGAACGCAGGTCTTTTGAACGGCATCATTCTGTAGCTTGCAGAATGATGCCGTTGAACACAACGTGATATAAAACGTAACGTTGATGAGAAGTGATGCAACGAGACGGCGGTGAAAGATCAGAAAGTCCATCAAAACAATGAGCAAAAGACAGACTGCAGTCTGCTGATAACGACTTGTTCACTTGCGACCCCTTTCTCATGAGTTCACCCAGAGACATATTTTAGAATAAAAAGTCTTCCACGTCTCCGGTAGATACCGTGTACATCTTTGATGACTCATTACAAATTCACAGAAGACAACAAACAGCAGCACGCGGAGAAGAGAGAAGACAATATCCTACGCTTTACTGCCCCCCCCCCCTCCTCTTTCTCCATTGTTTTCAAAGGTGATGGAGCGCTGATACAAGTTTTCATTACTGCTGCAGGGTCGTCTTTCTCGTTGGAAATCAATAGCAACACACAAATGCAACCGGAGACATGCAGCAGGAGTCACGGGTCCGTTTGTTCGCCACTAATTGAACTTTCCTCTCCGCCACTCCACAGCAAAAGAAAAACAGACTTTTGGTCCTTGGCTGCTGTGATGAGAAGCGAGGACCGAGACGAGGACGGGAGAACAGCGGCAGCAGAGGAAGTGGCTCCGGCTGTAACGAGCTCCCACATGGACGACAAGCGCCTCTAATGGACGTGGAGCCGCGGCCAGACACGCGCACTAACAGCCTCTTATTCCTTATTGCACGCAGCCGTGAAGGTCAGTACGGCTTCTGTATGAAAAAGCGGCAGTGAAAAGTCATTACATTTATACGCAACGGTGGTCGGCGTTAAGCTCCTTTCTCGCCGGGCTCCGTCTGTGACCTCGCTCTCCACAGGTCTCCATCCCTCCTACAGCCTCAATCAAGCAGCCTTTACTCCACCTCTCCCCCAAAAACCCTGCAGAGACTCGACCGACACTCGTGTTTCATCGGGGTGGAGGAGGAGAGAAAGCTCTCACTTCCATCGTCAGCATTGCTGCTGTAGATGTCTGGCGGGCATCGAGACGGAAACCAAGCAACCCCCATCTCTGCTCTCCAGGTTTCCCACTGTTCAGCCAGAATGCATCAGGGAGAATACCAGCGAAGAAGAGATGGAGAGAGCCAGACGGTTTGAAACGTCAGAAGTGACGTATTGGCCCGGGGCTTCCTGGTGCTCTCTGCAGTCAAAACCTGCCTCCAGCTCTCTAGAGGGGACAAGCATCGGAGGACAGAGAGAGGACGTCCACCAGTTTGGTGTAAACAATATCAAGCGCTGTTTTTAACTGTGAATAAATCAAGACCGACCGTATAGCAACTCTTCCACGTCGTAAAAAGGGCACGGCGGTTTGTTCCGTGCGCTGAGGACTCGATTTTCACGTAGAATGAATTCACACAGGCCCTAAAAGCACACGCTGTGTGTCCTCGTGCCACAAACCCTCACGCGCGTAAATGACAACGCATGTGCAGATAAATGTGCAGCTGGTTCGGGTAGCGAGCGCGTTTCCCTGGAGATGGATCCCTGTGCGCGCAACAACACATAATCCAAGAGGTCTTGTTCTTAATCCGACAGGTATTTGGCAGACGTGGGTCGCATTGAGAGGGAAGTTTGACTTGTATGGCAGTAATGAGGCGAGCAAAGTAAAAAAGGCTTCATTAAAATGGGCTTTGTGAGGTTGTGCATTTTTGCGATGTTGTATTGTTTTGGGGGACTAAAGAAAAATAAGCAAGTAAGAGAAGGACAATCGCTGACATTTCCACTCTTTCTTCACTGGCAATTTGCGAGGTTTCGCAAACCCTGGGAAGAAGTTTTGACAATAGTGATGTACAAATTATAAACAGAATGTTTTTTATATTCTGCTCTTTGAGGATGTTCAAAAATATATGAAATTATGAATAAAGGATGCAGCTTGTTTTTAATTATTCCTGGCAATGTAGAGAATTTGAATAAGAAACGTAAGCCTTCATGCTTGAAAATGAAACATAAAGAACACTGATGAACAAGAACAAGTTTAAATGTTGGAGACAGAAATAAGGGAAATCGTTTTATAGATTAAGGAGGGAGGTTGCATTGGGAGGAATTTAAACTCAGTATGACCTCCATCTTTCTACATTTCTGGCTAGAGTCCCGGTCAGAGTGTACAAAATGATAAATAAAGGGGACGGTGCAGTGATGGGGAAGCAGAAAGAAGATGAGAGGAAGAGAAAATGATGAAGAGCGGAGGAAAGAGAGCATCTGAGAGTGGGGAAGGAGATGAAGGGGAGAGGGGATGAGCAACGTGAGAGTGGCAAGAAAAAAAAGGCAAAAGGGATGAAAAAACTCCCTCTGTGGGGTGGAGCAGCACAGCCTGGCTCGCCACAGTAAACACAGAACCCGCCGCAACCACAACAAACCACAGGCTTCCTGGCAAACGCACACACACACACGCACACGCTAAGCCTGTTCCGCTGGCTTTCCAGACACGGCCACACCACTACTGGGAGAGCGCTGTGATTGACAGCTCGGGAGAGGCAAACCGTAAACTCAGCCTACCGCCGGGTGACACTGATGCGAAAACCACTTCCTCTGATTGGCAGGTGAAGTTAAGTCCTCGCAAGCGGGACGGGTGGGGGGGGTAAGGGGACGGCATCAGAGGAGTCTGATGTCTCACAATACAGATGGCAACCACATCCTGTTTTACTTTGCTATGAAAAAAAGAACACAATAAAAACATGCTCGCATCGGCGCTCAGAGGCATTTAATCCCCGTGTGTCCACGTCTTGACAAGCAGAGGTCACGAGGGGTCAAGAGGAACATACCAGTCTGCAGCCTAATGCGACTGTCATAATAAATGCCACGAGTCATGCTCCCAGCTCCCAGCTCGGGCTGGAGGCTTAACTTAACACGTAAGTTATATAAAAGTGTCAGTCGGGGGCAAAAACACAAAAACATATCAAGACTGACGTGCCGAGTCATGTTATTTTTCCTCTGTATTTCCATATTTTTTGTCAAGACTTTTTTTTAAGGAAATAAAGTTTCCTTCCCTCTTTTCTAATTTAAAATACAGTATATTCCACCTATTGTCTGCAAAAAAACAAACAGTGTGGCTTGGCAGTAAGCGAAGATGCTCAACGCCTCGAAACAGCAGTCCACAAACGTCCTGAGGACTACGTCCACATGGAAGGAACGTGCTTATGTTAGCCTAGCACAAATGCTAACTGGAGGATGAAACCCAGCCACCGCGTTAAAGATGAAACCTTTTCAAGGCCCTCTGCTGCACCGGGTGCTCCGTGCTTGTTCATTCAATTATTTTAATGTTTAATAAACAGAAAAACATTTATTAAAACGCACACTGCTACTACGCACTTGTCCATTATTGCCTCCTCAGCTTTTCTAACAACATGCATTTGTCAATGCGCATTTCTCCCTTCAAACTACACCATTCCCATTACTGAGCTTTGATTGAAACAGTGCAAACCTTCCTTTAATGGAATCAGTCAGCACCACTACAGGAGCTCCGCGGTGTCGGAGAAGAAGGGCTGTGTAAGTAGCAGGGCGCTGAGGCTCACCTTATTCTCCCCCTCGATGACGATGACGGGGACGGAGGTGGCGGGCCAGCGGTGCTTGGCCGGGAGGGGCTTGTCACAGTTCCACAGGACGATGATCTGGAATCACACAAGCGACACATTAGCACCCGCAAACAACTCATTTCATTTCCTGTAACGAAAACACACTCCCCGGCGCGGGGAACAGGTGACATTTACGTGGCGTAACCGGCCAGCAAATGTCACCTTTGCACAGGCTCATTGAGGGTTAAAGAGCCAGAAGGAAATACAATGCTCCCGATTATTGCTGCAGAATGATTCGCACGGTTTGGCCCGTCACATTGTCGCCTTTCATTTCTAGCTGTGACACGTCGCTGAACACATTTCCTCAGACTAGACCAGATGATGGTTTTACAAGAGGGACTCGTGTTTGAAATGACTCGGACACGCAGGTCAGCTAACGGTGACGTGCGCATCTCGTACATGTTTGATGAGGAACATACACGCACACACACACACACACACACACGTTGCCATATCTCAGACTCTTCTCATGCATCTTTAATGGTAGTGACACAAAATGAATCCCTTTCTACGCACTAAACTGTGTAGAAGACATCTGTTTTTACTGGTATTAATAAAGTGTTTTGAAGGTAGTGTGTGTTTTAATCTTTTCAAAACCATAAATGTTGAGGAATGAACTGAACATTTGATGTGCGATGCAGCTTGTTAGCATGCGTGGCTAACTAGCTTAGCTCCGACCTTGAGCAGTGAGCTTTACTTCAAAAGAAGTCAGCATACCATTAGCTTACTGCATCTGTCTAAAATGTAAGATTATGTAAACGGACCAAATAAAAAAAAAGGCCATTACATCATAAGTTATAGCGTTAGCATTATAAGTTTAGACGGGAGCAGGCCTAGCACACAAAGACACCCTGTGGTGACCCTGAAAGTTTGTCCTCATACCTGAAGCCTTTTCTCTCCTGATGTTAAAAATGAAAACACATCGTTAAGTACGCAATAAAACGGGATTATGTTAGAAAAAACAGACCGGCTGTTTCTTTTCTGATGTAGTTTAACCAGCACTCACTGCATTGCAAGAACAATCCTGTTTTCATTTACATTGATCATCAGCTGGTGAGGATGCTGAGTTTTGTTTTCAAAGCAAACTAGTCTGTAGTTCTAGAACGGGCAATAAAGTGGTTTGACAACTCTCCCTTAATTCTTTTAATTAAATGACCTCGAGTATTACTATAAATAATCCTTTTGTCCCAGGATAATGTTGTAAAGTGTACGTTAATGTGTCCAGGGAACTCTTTGTGTAGTCACTATGCAGCTCAAATAAAACAAGAGTCTATAAATATAGAATATAAAGAATAAAAATGGATTTTAAATCAAACAAAATCTTCCCAAAACCGCCCCGATCCATTTTCAAGTACAAAAAAGCATCACAAATAGCTTATAATAAAATATATTTCAAAAGATTTATTAGTTTGCCGTTTTGTGAGTTTTGCCCAGGGCTGCATCACCACCATCTGCTCGGTCTTTCACTTCCTCCGTTTCTGCTGTGCACACAGCGCTGTGGGAAGGTCATGCTGCTCAGAAACACATTCCAAATCTGAGCAATTTAAGTCCTGTGGTATTTTTAGCGAACATTATTTTCCTTAAAAATCAAACCTAGAACTCAAAAATAATGCCGATGCCAGGGTGCAGCGTGTATTCTGAGCTCTGCTGGTACGGTAAATCTACCCGGGAAATTGAGGTTGGAAAATTAGAACAAATTTAGACATGAAGATGAACAATGGCAAAGCAAACGCTGCCTCTGAGAACCAACCCTGCCGGATCGTGAGCTGGAAGCCATTTGGATGTCTGCGTTAAGGTGTTTGCCTCGCGTCTACAGAGCGGCTGTGTTCAAACAGCTGTGACACAAAGCTGTTTGATGAATGGGCGCAAATGATCTCGTCATGACAAGCCAGAACAGATGAACAGCAAAAACAAGCATCATCCACGTGGTTGAATCATTGTGCGGTTACAGCAGGTACACGGCCCTTATGCCTGCACATGCTGCGCGCACCCAGCAGAGTCAAATGTGTGATTCCACTCTTGCAGGGGCTCTGTTTCTTGATTAGAAAGACAGATGGTGTCTCCGTCAGCCCACCAGCCGCCTCGGGGAGCCCACGGTGCTTACGTGTGCCTGCATGTGTGCGCATGACTGGAGGGGAAGGGTGAAGACCGCGCGCGTCTGGGAGGAACGCCTCGAAATGCCCGCGCGCACAACAGGGGCCCTCGCTGCACCGGCAAGCGCCTCAAAAGCTTTCCCGTGTCCAATTCAGCCTCCTCCGCCCGCAGAGGCCTTTCATTCTCTCCCCTACGTTCATTTATTTATATCCCTCTCTTCAGCAACCCCCTCTCTGTCGAGGGGGGGCGGCTGAAAGTGTGCTGGTGACGTCGGGTCTTCAGCAGACGCGCTGTCGCCATAAGGAGCTGAGGTCTCCTGATGCACTTGTCGAGATCGCCAACCCGGTTTCTTGTATTAACCCCAAGGAGGATGACTGATGTCATCGATCGTTTGGGATTGAGAACAATAAGTGTAGAATTTGAAAGACGTCCACATATTTCAGGCAGGAAAAGTCTGTTTAAGATTCAGTCACTTGTCAAAGTGACTTTGCGTGACATCATTGGGGAGGAGGGACTGAACATCTAAGCTAGAAAGTTGGGAAATAAATGTGCGTCTCTCAAACTCTTTTATCTGGAAGATCCAACAAATAATAAATAAGTCTCCCTAATTGCATTATGGGACGTGCAGCATCCACAGTCCTGACAAGCTCCTTCTGTTGTCACCCATTGATTCCTGGGATTTAACGAGTGGTCGAGTTCACCAAGATAAGAAAATAAATCCCATATCACATGCTGCATATTGTTTGTCTGACACAAGGAAACATTTTAAACAGAAAAGTAAGCAAAACGATCTGTTGATGTGAGAGCAGATGATGTTTATGTATCTCATGGAAAAACGGATATTTGGCAAATCTTATCCAAATACTAACCAGCCGTGTTAACAGGGATATCCGCTCACACGGATAGCGTGTACACAAATACACACACGTTTAAGCGCCCTACCCACAAAAAACACACATTCATATCGTATATTACCGCTGCCCAAACAATCACACGCGGACACATTACTCCTGTGAAACACACTCACGCAAACTCCTACAGAACACAGAACTGCTTACTCATGCACTGTGCTGGGCAAACAAACACACGCGCACAAAAAAACAGCCATTGGGGAGAAAATTCCATTTCATTTCCTGTGCTGGTAAGGAGCAAGCAGGGGAATCAATACATGCCGTCTCCAGCTGTGCTGAAGGGGCTTCGCTGCCATGGAGACAGATGTACCACTGCTACAAATTGCTGCACTAATTCAATCCACCGGAGTTAACGCACACACACACAAACCAACGCAGAGACACACACTCACACACAGACACACACCGGGATGGAAGATGAACGTTGTTGATCTGGTCGGAAAATGCGATCGCAAATAGGAGCCGCTTAATGCGCACAATTTGGGCAGTCACAGGGTGGAGGTCAATGGATGATTCTTCAGTAAACACACACACACACAAATAAAGGCATACCTGTGAACAGTACTGGGACTTGGCCACAGCTACCAGGAGCTTGAGTATGGGCTGCGACTGGGACACCAGAGGGGAGACAGCATGGATGACGGCTGTGAACTTGGGGTAGGGTTTGATACCTGGAACACAACGGGGAGAGAGTCACTCATTCATGCAGATTCACAAATCCACTAAACACATTTTTGTCATTTTAACGTCTTTAAGAGAACAAATCTGAGAGGCCCTCATTTACAAACACTGCATACTTGAAACAAGACTGCTGGAAGTTCACAAAAAAATATAGATCATAGAATAGTGAGAAATGTGCATTTTCAAGCAACAACTTTAACGTGTTTTGAAAATGTCAAATCTCCTTGAACGATGAATATTTCATTTCGGAAACTCTGCAGCCCAATGAGCAGACAACTAAGTGCTGACTTTAAATTCAGCCTGGCTTCATGTCGGAGGAGAGTAACCGAGGCTGAAAATGAGCCGGAAGAAAGATATTGAGCAGGATGGAACAAGATGTTCAACTTTTCTTAATTTAAATGTAATCTAACCCAAAGCAACAAAGCGTGGCGGGGAGGAGACGGCATTAAAGGAGCCTCCGTCCTGAGCAACTCTTTGTGAGGAGGAATAAACGCAGTCTTAAAAGTCGGCAAACTATCCCGGTGATTCACAACGTTATGAGTGCAGTTTTCTCAAACCCATGAATTTGTACAATAAGCTCATGAACATGAAACATTGAGAAAAACCTGCAGCCACATTACTGTTGTTAAGCTCATTTTAATTTTGGATGTGCATGCTGTTTTCTGTCCTCGGCAGATGATTCTCAGAGGCTTTTTATCTCTCTATCAGCACATTACACAGCTCACATGCTAAATATTCAAAGCAACACAAAGGCTGGTTTGGGGTTGATTCCGAAGGTTCTATAAACCTCGCCTCCTGCCAACGTGAGGCAAGGTTTTACGTACGTTCTGGGTGTTTTTGTACGGTTTGGTCCCGGAGAAGGCGAATCCCAACGCAAAGACACAACTGACATTTTTGACCAGTGATTTGCGGCCGGGCCAGTAGCCAGGCCCACCGTGGTCTGGGGTCCGCATACTTCTGGCCATAAGGCGATCTCAGTATAGCTGTCCCTGCATTTTATATACATTGTTTTCATTTACAGTTATAATACGTCCATTATTATCTCAAGGTTGATCAACAGAATCACGCAGTTCAAATAATTTGCTTATAGTAATCATGGAGTCCACTTAGTGTTCATTTTTTAACTATAGTATTTTTTTTTTTTTTACATTGACTCCCATGATTCTTTTCTTTGTGTTAACTTATGAGAAGCAGCAACGAAATGGGCCATTGGAATGCAGCAGCACAGTGTGCGTGGTCCTCGAGGTAAAGCAAACTGTGGCTGAAGACGCTGCTGCACTTTCAAACACAGAACAAAGAAAAATACATTCTCATACGTCAGTATAATGATCATCCACTACAATTTAATCTGGACAGATCCGATCATTCAAAAATACAAATATAGTTATTATAAAGCTGTTTTGATCAGCAGTGGGATATCTTTTGTTAAAGCTGCTTTGATCACAGGATGTTGAACAAGACACATTGTCAAATATATACTGTTATATGGGTTTTATTATTCTCAAGTACACATTGTGTACAGCCCCCAAAAGTCTTTCAGCTTTCTAAATGAAAAGTCCATTTAACTGGATTCCAGGAGAACAAACTGCTGTGATGCCCGATGAGTCTGAGTGTCTCATTGTCTCTCAGAGAACAAGACGACGTGTCAATTGGAAGCTTTGATTTTACTCAATTACCCATCAGCAACAAGCCGGCTTGTCTCCTAAAACCCGTCCCTGCTTAATTGCGTTCTGTTTGGCAAACAAATAAACTCGCCGGCGCTGTAATCCGTCAATTTGATGTCCCCCCTCCCCCGCCCACTCCGGAGCTACATCAGTGTAGTTTTGCGCGGCCGTGCTACGGCTGTCTGTGTGTGTGTGTGTGTGTGTGTGTGTGTGTGCTGCTGGCGGATGATGATGGAGTGAGGGAGCGAGGGATGGAGAGCTCCAGGGTCACAGATAAGTGGCGGGTGGGGGGGGGGGGGGGTTGGGGTGGACACGGCGCTGCTGACTCGTAGCGGGACGGATTGGTCTCGCCGCGGCGGCAGCACCAGTAGCAACGCTGACTCAAGACCCGGTGACGGACGGGCTGATGTGTCAGCGCGCCGAACACAAACATCCGTCAACATGCGGCTCCCGCGCGCTGGAGGGGGGGGGGGGGGGGGGCATAATCCCGTCAAAGCTCCACAGCCACAGCTTGACCAAAATGTACTTAGCTGTTTGGACTTTCCCACCAACCTCTACGGTTCAGTTCAGGTCCACTTGTGTGTAGAAGCGTCACATAGCAGCACTGTGTGTGTGTGTGTGTGTGTGTGTGCGTGCGTGCGTTACTAACCCAGTGTCGCGTAGTAGAAGGGGAAGTCTCCCAGGTATCCGGAGTACTGCGGCAGGGCGAAGAGCCCCCCAGGGTGGCTGTTCCACATGAGGCTGCTCCTGGAGCCGTGCTCCAACACGCGGTCCTGGATGATCTGCACGTGGAACCACAAATAAACTCAAGGCCGCCTCAAGATGGTTCTTTTCAAATGTAAATGTTTGGACTGCAATTTTTTTTGTTTGTTAAAATAAAAAAAAAAAATAAACAACCTCAAACAAGCTTCTTTGTTCCTTTCTACTCCAACTACGGTCCACTTTGTACATGAGGCACATCCTTCTCTTGACCTCTTGTTATAAAATGTTACTTTTAACACAGAATACAAAAAGACAAAATCAAGACAGATCGAGCCAGGAAATGAACATGTGTAACAGGTACACACATTCAATACTGCAGATGTGCAAATATGCAAAGAGTGCTATATGCTAACTAGCTTTTTAATAGCACATCTTTTAGATCTCCAAACTATTAAAGCGACTACACAGAAGTTTAAAAACGGATTCAATGATCTTTAGTCATCATCTAAAATGTTTAAAGAGACAGCAGTTTGTCAAATAGCGGCCCGCTCGGTCAATGTTGACGCCTTGGGCAGCGAGCTTGTACTTGACTTCCTGAAGTGAATCCTTCAGTACTTTGTTTCAGAAAGAAACACAAAGTCATCCACCTGTGTGAGACAAATGTGTGCTCTTGGACTACGTAAATATACTTAACCTAAATCTAAAACTTTGGTAATCTTGCAGAAGACAAAATCTAAGCAATAGAGGCCAAAATATCTCCCCAAATGACCAGATCCTACGTGATTCATCAGGAAACATTTTTGATTTGTTTTTTTCTAGAAGCTTTATTAAAATTCCAAATGTTGCATATTGTGCTGAATCCCAGAGCGATGCACATGAGGTGATGCGTAAAGGCATCCGACATTACTCATTAACCACGTTACAGATTAAACCCGCGCGGATGACAATCCGTGTTGCTTTGACAGCCAGAAAGGAAGAAGCAGGGACACGCGGTCTGTTGCCGGGATCAAACTGGTGTCATTTCAAATTACAGCGGCTCTCCGGATTCACGGCCTCCCATTCACAAGGCTTCCTATTTAAATAGCTTTTTTTACACAAACAACACATCTGATCAACAACAGTCTGATCTCAGAGGAGTAACAACCTAAGAGGGTGAGGGGGGGGGATTTAGGATTTGATCAATGAGCCTCGTAATCGCCCCACCAACAATGAAAGAAACACCACATTTCAGACTGCAAAGGAAGATGAACACCAAGACGCGGAGAGTCATGAATGCGTTCCAATAACCCCGTTTCAATGCCTTCCACAGGTGGAGAGCGCTAATGAAAGTGGGTCCGCGGGCGTCACATGAACGTTGGAGCGCTGGCTGAGCTTCCCAAACGTTCGCTTTGTATCACCTGAATAGCGGCTAACGATTGTGTCAAGAGCGAGTCGGCGAGGCACAAAGTCGAGCTGAAAAAAAATCTCTGTTGTTGTGTGATATTTCCTCTGCAGACAAAACCGCACCACCCTTTTTTATCCATTTGATAGCAGTGTTTAAGCGCCTGTCAGTCACGTCTGCCCCGACCCTCTCTGTGCCCAAATGGAGCGACCAGTCAAACCGTCACAACGGCTGCAGTTTCCGCCCACACTCGCCCTTCAGCTGCGGCCCACCGATGGCCACCGGCGAAAGGGCAAACCCCGAGGAGAAGAGAAATCGCCCCGTGCCCTCGAGCCACGCTGAATTGCCTAGTAAAACAGACACAGGTTTGCGATGGTGTTTTACGGCCTCGGGTGAACCGGGAGGCGGCGGCCGGCGGCCCGGAAGCGAGAGGTGAAGAAGGTCAAGGGGGGCTGAGCGGTTGATGGCTTTTCCAATTGTTCAAAAGGTACTAATATACCCGCAGGGAGCTTACTGTAATAATATTGACACGGACACATCAGAATTCATCACAGGAAGGTGCAGATGTGGAAAACTGCAGCACTGAAGGAGTTTGGGGTTTTGTTTCGCTCTCCCTAGCGTCGTCCCGGGGGGGCAGTCGATAACCATTCGCCTCGGCCGAAGAGATTAACTTGAAACCCGTTAACGTCTCTACAACAAACACTGCCTCGCCACCATAAAAACTCGGGGGGGGCTCTTGCGCCTCATGGAGGGGCAATTTTGCTCGCTTGGCTGCGGCTCCTCCCCCGTCGGCAGCCCTCAGTCGGGACATGATGGACGACTCAATCTCCCCTCCGAACAGCCGCAATCAACCAATTAGAGCATGATAGATAAATCCCGCTTGCCCGGGAGCTCGGCTTTAATAGGTGCGTTTAATAGGTGCGCCGGCGGCGCGCGGCCTCGGCTGTATTGACCTTGTGATTGGTCGAAATGCGTCCGCTTCCTGACAGGAGACACAGCATGATAGGTTGGACTCGGGTTTCCTGCTTGCTCGCCAACTCCAAACCAACACAAACACACAAGGACTTGAGTGGATGTGGGAAGTCAATAAAGACAAAACAAAAAACTTTGTGAGCGAGCGCCACGAGATTTGTCAAGATATCGGTGTGTGTATTTGCACGCGCGCGCGTGTGTGTGTGTGTGTGTGTGTGTATCATCAGATCTGCAGTTAGGAGGACGAGGAGGTGCTGCCTCGGCAAGATGAATAAACCATGACGCTCGTTATATCGGAGGCTGCCACGGCAACGCCATTAACATATGCCAACCATTCCCCTCATCGCCCTTTCTCCCAACACTCTCCTCTCCCTGTTTTTTTTGTTTTGTTCCAAGGACAGTCAGTCAGGATTAAGAGTTTAGCCCTTCGCTGTATTCAACACACACACACACACACACACAGTCACAAGCCTTTGCCTTGTCACCTTGCTCTTTAGCGCAGAGTGACAGCGCGTCAGGAAGGTTATGCCTGGGTGGCGCCATGTGCATCTGGGCTGACACACCTCGACATATGGAGATGTGATTCTGACGTCGCATGTGTCACAGGGCACAGTTTAGCGGGGGCTGGCTGACACACACGGGATCACAGTCCGTTCCCATCGCAAAGGCTTCACAGGTCATTTTCAAGCCGAGGCGGAGTGAGTTTTTGAGGCCAATCGTTTGGATCCCCTGAACTAGCTTGGAAAAATCTAATTTCAAATCTGGTGCCAAAGAGCAAAGTACTTAGTGCTGAAATGCTCCCGTGGCTGCTATAGAACCGTCGTCTCTGCGACCATTAGTGAGACTCTGCAGCCTCCAAGAGGAAGACTGATGATGAAGGGGAAGCAGAGGACGGAGGCGGAGAGGCCGACCCATGAGTGCGTCTCAAAGACTCACCTCTAGTGTGGTCAGCACTATCTTTTCCACGGATGAGAAGTAGGCCTCCCACAGGAACTGAGTCTGCTGCCTGAGGGACAGGATCTTATCCTGGTGGATGGAGCGCACCGTAGTCGGGATCTGGAAAGGACACAACAGCAGCCGGTTATCATTCTGGACTCATCTGGGATGGCGGGTATTGCAGGTTTCTGTAGGTAGTGCTGTCAATAGATCGTACAAGTAACGAGTGATCACTTTAGAAAGCGTGTATTTTAATTCTTTATTTGTATTTTAAACACAAAACTAAGCACATTTGATCATCTTGTAGGCAGAATCCCACCGGGTGGAACGTGAACTAGCGACTCTTCCTGTTGTCCTCGTGCACTTTGCTCTCAACTCTCATCTGTTTTTGAAGTGCCAGCAACCTGCCGACATTTAGCCAAAACATTTTAAAAAACCACTTTTAGGGCAACGGTCGCAATTTTCTGCAGGGTAGATGTTGAGCTGGATGTAGCCTAGCAATTAGCTTAGCCTAGCAGCTAGCTTAGCATAGCGGTGCTTTAAGTGGTCCGTTTTGGACTAAACCCTCTTCTGTTTGACCCGTGGAGTTATTCCTCTGCACAGTTCTCCGCTGTATGTCGCGCCTGTTTGTTCTACTTCCAATGCAAAAAGCTCTTTCCGTCTTGAGCTACCGTCTCGGCCTTTCCAATCGAACGTTAACCGACTGCAGCTAGCGGCGGTTTCGTTTCCGGGGTCAAGTTTATTCACCTCCGGGACACCGGAAGTAAACCGAAAAGTTGCGTTATCTGCGTTAAAATATTTGATTGCATTAATCTCGGCCACATTAGTCGCATAAAATTTAATTTTATGCGATAATTTAGTGTTTTAGGTGTTAGTTTTTTAGGTCAAGTTATAAAAACCCTCTCAACAGCTGATGAATACGGCTAGCTTAGCTTTAGAGATTTAGAGACAGTCTGTCCGTTTACAGCATTGTTTTGTTTTCAAACTTTGGTTTTGGACGAATAATAAAGATATTTTTTAATAAGGGAGCCTTAAAGGCGTTTGTAGCTTGAGCTCACTGGCTCACTGTTTCCCCCTTCTTTTTTATCCTAACTGTCTGGAGCCTTATATTCAATAAACACGGTAAATTAATAAACCATAACAACAACAGCGACTATCAGTCACCAAACAGCATTAGGAAAGAAAAGCTAAAAAGCCGCAGCAGCCTTTGTACTTTTACTTCAAGAGCTGTGTAGTTTAATTTATATGTGAGTTTATTTGTCAAAACAAATTAGTATGAATGGCAAATAAATACATTATACAATACCGTCATATGCTGCAAATTGGGAACATTTTTATTGTAGTAAATAAACTCCAGGTGCAGTTTTAAAAAGAGCAAATGCTTTGATTGTAGGAGATGTAACCTGCGTTTAGGGAAACACAAGCTTTAACTTATGCCTTGTTTCTCAGCACATTGTGCAGCTGTGAAATAAATCCACAGACGTCCCGCTCAGGCTCAATGGTGCCGCGCCGAGTTATAAAACTCAATGTCAAACAATATTATTACACACTTCATTCAAATTAGGATTTAATGGGCATATAATTACTTTTCCCCCGTGAAGTTCAAGCAATTCCAGCCAAATCCATTTGCTCATTGTATTCATTTGCCCTCTCATATCACGACGGGAGCCATGAGCGGCATTCTGAAGCACTCGGAGACTCGGCATGCTGCTTGCATTTGGTTTAGTCTCAAGAACTCCAAAACAAAACCGGATTCAGAGAAAAACCGGGCTGCTCGGGGGATCTACAGCCACGCCTAGAGGAGGTTCGGGGTCTAGTTCAGCTTGGTGTAGCCACCTGCAGCAGGAGCCTCTCGTCGCCGATAACCGCCGCCGTGTTCCAGTCGATGATCTCGGAGAAAGGCAGCTCCCAACCGTTACTCAGCATCACTGGCACGCACGCAGCCTGAGAGACGCACACAGGGAAGATCCGTTACAAACACAATCAGAGCGACTGCTTAATCATGCCTGCGTTGCTGCATATCGATCCGGGTAATGAGCGCTGCACTGTATTGTAATCGACCGGTCTGTGTTTTTCCCGTGACCCTTTGTGTTAATGGCCTAAACACTCCAATTGGAAAGAAAATGGATTTCCTTTGATTTTCAAGCGTCTTTGGTGTGATGTGGATAACTCGTACTTAAAATTGCTACTGAGGCTCGGCACGGCCATTGAAGCCCTGCAGCAGAAGCCCTTTGTTGTCTTTGTAGACGACGGCGTTGTCAGCCGCGGACTAGATGCAAGGAACTTTATCAAAGCACTGAACTTCACTGAGAGCGAAATGCAGCTCCCTAAAATGAACGTACTAAAGATTACGTCACAATAGTTTTGCGAATGGGTTAGTGAACATAACACGCCACCTACCCGTTAGTGAAAACAACTACTCTTAGGCCTAAAAACACAAACGCTTAGCTTACAGATGCTAAAGCTGAGGAGAACTTTTTGATTGGCTGGGTAAGTCTGCTAATACATTGCATGAATATGAATTTAAGTAGAGCGGACACTCTCGCAACATTCTTTAGCTTAACAAAACTCAGCGATCAGATGGACAGAAATAAAATAAGCGAGATGAGCAGGCGGCTCGTAGCCACGGCGAGCGAGGAATTGAGCGTGACGATGTCCGTTCTGTTCTGAAAGACAGCGAGCCGCCGCTGGTTGGAGAACAGATCCTGCAGAGCGGAACATGCCGCGTTCATTTCGACCAGGCAACGTTTATCGTTTTTACATTTACCCTGCTGGAAGTCTCCAGACCCAGAAGAACTCAAACAAGAGCAAAAATGTCTTAACTCGTTTAACGGTTCTCGTTCTCTTTGAGGTTAGTGGAGGGTTTTTTTTTTTACATTGTTGTGACTTCATCTTTTCTTTTTTGCAGCTGTTGGAGTGTCAATATCAAAAAGGAAACTTCAGGTGCTGGCAAGTGAATTACTCAAAGGAGGTGAGCAGGTGGACGAGTGAAAAAAAGGAAAAAAGGCAATTAAAAAAGGCAAAAGAAAGGAGGATGAATAGATGTATTAAAAAAAAGATGAAAAGATGGGAGCCACTGACTTAATGTGGCCTTTGGCAAAGGAGTGGCAGAGGGATGGAGGGATGAGAGAAGAGGTAGAGGGAACAGCTGGCGACGGTGTGCGTGTGCGTGTGTGTGTTTGTGCGTCAGTGGTGGAGTTTGACGTAATGACGGCCCTGTCACTCCCAGGTCATAAAGGTGTCAGCTAAACCACAGCCGGCCCTCAGGCGCTGCTGCCTCCACAAAACACACACACACCCACAACAAACAACCTCCAGGCACACACTGATGCAACGCACACCGACCTCTATTCGCTATTGCGTTCTCTTGCAAAGACCAAAGCCTGTAAATACTCTCCCTCTGTCTTCATGTGCTGCTGATGTGAGTCGATGGATGGAGTGAGTCACACAAATGGAGAAAGCAAAGAGGAGAGGGCATATTTTCCTCCTGAGTAAAGAGTGTGTGTGTGGCAGCCGATAGTGAGATAAGCGCACTCTGTGCGCGGTAAGGAGGTGCAAAGGACAGTGCAGTAGTAATGCGGCAGTTATAGAAAGAGGAGAGAAAAAAGAAGTGTTTAGCTTTCAGGTGTTGAGTGGTGGAGGTGAATGCAGATCCTTTGGAAAATGAGTCCATATGGGGAGAGTTTACCACACAGGTTATTGTGCTCATAGTACTGCTACATCATGAGTGGCAAATGTGACCTAAAATGCACTTAACAGTCAAAGATCTCACAACTCTACCTTTGTAAACAACTTACGCACTACTTTCTAGATAGTTTTTTTTTGTCCAAACAACATTTTTGCATCTGTGTGGCCGTGAATTTTGTTCTCTGTGACTTAAACTAAGTCGGAACATACAAATCTCTGGATGAATCTGTAAAAAGTCCCGTGTATAATCACTTGGTAACCACGGTAACGCATCGCGAGCGAGGGTATATTACCTGATTAATTGTTTAAAAGCTGTTAAAGGTGATGTGCTTTTATAGGATTGTTTCAGTTCACCATTTGAAAGGTGTGGGACAGACAACAGCCATCAGCCCAGACTCATGTCCTCAATTACACCCCTGTGAGCTCTTTGTGACACCAAAAGAACTTTCTCCTGGTCTGGACCAAATGAACCAGCTCGACAGTGAGAGTCACGCCGTATATGTGTAACTAGCTGGCAACATGAAAGGGTTCAGTCACAATAGCTCCGGGAGTTTCTTTAGATTCTCCCCCTACGCGGCCAATTACCGTCCCCTGGCAATTATTTCTAGGGATTGTAAATAATTTGATTCAATAAAGCTGCACGATAAGTTTATTTAAAGGTCAGAACCGTCGAGTTTGATATTGTTCACCTGTGTAAATTCATCACCAAAGCTGAACTTGACATGAAGTATTGTGTAGTATAAGTATTTAGTTTGCTCCAAAAAGCATCATCCTGTTGTGGAAACTCCACAGAACCTAAAATCTCAATCTGGCACTTAAAATGAACGTTTAATACAAGCAAAATTGGGAATCTCGTTTCACAAAATCAAAGACCAATTTAACGGTTTCTCTGCAGATCGTGTTGCAAAAAAGAAAAAGCACTTTGGAGACATTCAGCAAAGGTGCTTTTTGTTTATGCAAATTACACTATTAGCCTCAGAATGATGGGGGTAATGATTTAGTGATGCTTTAATCCAAGAAGCATCACCGTTAAAACACGTGCCGAGGGGGAGCTCGCAGTGCGAGTGGGAATCCACGGCGCCTGCATGAAGTGCTCTTCTCGCGTGTGTCTGTTTGTGTGCGCTCAGTTTACCTGCAGCGCCTCGAGGAAGCGGAAGGAGCCCAGTCGCCTGCCGCGGGGCACCAGGCAGAAGGTGGAGTTATGGAGCATCTCCTTGTAGTCGTACCTGCACACAGAGACACACGGGTACGATGAGTTCACTGACGCCAGCGAGAACGTGTTATTCATGGGAAAAAAAAACCCCGAGTGTGTGTGCGATTGCAGGAGTACAAACAGGACAGTAACTTCTTGTGATGAAGTTTGTAACTGGAGAGTATCACAACTTCCATGCTGGTGGGACTTGTGAACACAATGTGCACACATTCAATGGGACATTTTTCATTTTCAAACGGCACACAAACACATTTTGGGGGGAATTTGCTCGTATTGATGTGAAATACGGTCTCCGGCACTTTGGTCAGAGCATATAAACCACTTGATTGAAAGGTTAAAAACCTTCACTCACACAAATGCAAATGCAAGGAAGTAAGATGGGCCAAATTAGAATTTTGGAGTCTCGTGGATGTTTACAACGAACAGTTGGAGATTAAGCTCCTCTTCACCTTCGTTTTCTTCTCCAAATGTGTTTGGGCAAGCTGGGCAGCCTCTCTTTTCTCGGATTGTATTTTTAATGACCTTTGCGGTAAACTCACTTTTCAGCAATTGACTTTGCGGCCTCCATGTGCTTGTTAGGGAGAGAAACAATGGCCAAAAAAAACTCAAACGCGATACAAAATTCCACAATTTTCATGCTTTTGCTTCCGTTTCATTTTCACACCACAGCCTCTCCATCCATTTACTCCCTGCCGCTCCCCCAATCTAATCCTACCACACCAAACATACATTTGCACAGCACCTCTTCTTCACTCGCTACCTTTCTAAATCCCTCTATCTCTAAAGCAGGAGGCCGATTCTCCCTCCCAGCCCCCCCGCCCCATATCTCTGTAGGGAGCTGTGTGTTATTGCTCTCCAAACAGGGTGATCAACCCTGCCAGGGGTAATGAGCTGAGAGTGACACCTGCTTCCACCACACAGCTGGCTCGGTGTGTGTGTGTGTGTGTGTGTGTGTGTGTGTGTGTGTGTGTGTGTGAGACACAGAAGTAGAGAGAAAGTGTGTATGTTGGCATGGGCCGGTCTGCATCACGCTGCAGAACAGTTCCTGTACTGTTGAACACCAGCGATGGCGCCGTGTACGTGTTCTAATATAGTGCTTCCTTTACCCTCCACTGCACGCACCTTCCCCGAGTCACCGAAGGCCTCAATCTCACGGCTTCTCCCGTCTGTCTGCGCTTCTCCCATCTTTTTTTCCGCCTCGCCGTCACGCTCTGCGTGGTGCTTTCTCACAACGGTTCTCTCTGTACTCCCTATGCCATCAATCTAGTTATATTAACTATACATCTTAAACAACAATTCCACTAAAAAGACAGCAATGGTTTTCAAATGAAAAATAATAATGAGCCCTAAGGGTTGTCGGGTTGAGGGTTAAGAGACCGGTGGGGCAGAAAATCATTACTCATTTAGCCATCGTCTATACACGGCTGAGGTTACAAACACACACATTGACAGTGAATGCTGCCTTGCCGAGCTGACGGGGCAGGGCTGGAGGCGAAGCGGTGTGTGTGTGTGTGTGTGCGTGCGTGCGTGCATGTTAACGCGGTGGCGATGGGTGATGCTGCCGGTGAGATGCCAGCTGGTTTCGTCTTCATTTCTTCTCTAATGAACCAACGTGCATAACGTTCTGTAAGTGTCATGAGCTCGCGCACACACGCACGCACACACACACACACACACACACACACACACACACCACCCCCCCCCCCCAACAGGCGGCATCTGCACGCCCTCACGTTGACGTCCCGCCACCTGCCGATGGAAACGAGGGCGCTTTCTTAGCCTGTTGTTCGTTTACACACCAGCGGTCTGCCTGCACGCTGTGTGTGTGTGTGTGTGTGTGTGTGTGCAACAGCCCATAAAACAGGGCGGCATCTGATGGCGGTGAATACCAACGCGTGGCTTTAATGGAGCGGCCCTGACGTTTTATCGACTCACATGTCTACTTCGCATTGTGTGCTTGGCGCAATTGTTTTTCAATTTCCCCATTTGACGGTTTTATACGCGGCGCGCCTCTGGAGCCGATCACCAGGAGGCACATTTTGGCAAGGTTCCTGGCAGGGATACAACCCTCTCACATGATCCACCTGCTGTGCATCCTTATCCCGACTCCGGTGCTTCAGAGAGAGGATTTGCTTTCATCCAGAGTGTTTCTGACGTTGGTATGAAGGGGGGGGGGGGTGGGGGGCAGCAGGAGGTGGTTTAAAAGAGGACGTCCTCTACCTTGTGAAACAACCTTCACCTCCCTCCCTCCCTGCTCCTCTGTGTGCCCACCTCCTGTTGTTTCTGCACAACTTACTTTCGCTTTCTTCCTCATTCTTCTCCTCTACCTCCCTTTCTCCTCATTTTTTTCTGCAGCTCTAACAGCTCCTTTATGTGCTTGTGACCTTGAGCTGCCGCAGAGGGAACAACTGAGCCGCGATTGCCTGTGTTAGGTTTCTATTCTTTTAATTGCATGTGTGTCTGCCTCCATTGTGTGTATTTATATATATATATATATATATATATATATATATATATATATATATATATATATATATACGTACACCCGCAGGTGTGATAAGTAATGCACTTTACGGCTAAAGTTTAATGTTGACAGAAATGTTTTCTCCGTTTCTGTAAAAGCCACTATTACACAAACCATGATTGTTTTTTCTAACCTTAAACAAGCTATTTGGTTGCTTAAACCAAACCGATTGTTTCGCAACGTTAATCGTGTTTGTTTCTGCAAGAAAACCTATTTTTGGCAAATTGGTTGGGTCGAAACGTCAAACGTAAAGGAAACTTTTACGTTTTGGATTGGTCCACTTTACACTTTCTGAAGTACGTTTTGCGCCGAAACCTCATTTAGATTCTTAGAATAGAAACCTTTCCTTCTTACGTCCTGTAACCTCCCATGTTCACCTCACATATGCAGCGCAGCAGCACTGCTTAGGCTACAAAAGAGCCTCTGAAATGCAGTGAAACCTAAAGTGCCACCAAATGAAGTAAAAAAAAAACAACACAAAACTGTCTACTACAGCCCGTATGTACTATGCCGGGGAGCCCGGATCTCCGAAGGTGTGCGCTGAGCATCCGGGCGCCCGAGCACGAAGCCTCGGAGTGATGAAAGCACGAAACCACGAGCAGCCTCAGAGTCTCCCAGAGAGCAGAGACACGGGATCCGATTTACCACTTATTGACACTGTTACATTAGCCTCCCAGTCTCCCTCTGCCACCCTCGCTTGGTTTGTTCAGAGGCATCTGTGTGTGTGTGTGTGTGTGTGGTGATGCTCATGAGGTTTTGATAAAGAAAAAGAGAAGCATCCCGTCCTGGCAAATCATTCCTTTTGGACAAAAGAAAGCTCAGTCTTCCTCTCGCCGTGTCCTTCTGCAGACCGCTGTGAGCGCGGTGGAAAGATTATAAAAATGATTGATCATTAACTGTGTCACGCCACAGATGTGCTCATTTGTCTATTGAATAACAGACTACGGAGAGATTCCAGCAGTAATTAAACAGACGTCTCATCCTCCCCATAAACACCAGAGTCTAAGTTGAAGCATATTGTTGCGTCTGCTCCCGTGAGACGGAGACAGATGTGCCGGCTAAGCGGGTTTTGGGTAAAAAAAAAAAAAAAAGAAGAGGAGGCATCTTCGGCTTCAGACTCACTCAGAAGGAGTGTGTGTGTGTGTGTGTGTGTGTGTGTCCGCGCGTTTCATGCATGTTTGAGGGGGATACGATGTGCGACATGCACACAGTGGCAGATATGAGCTCTAGAGTGGAATCGGTGAACCAGTGACTGATGTGTATGTGCTAATGTGTAAGCATGTGTATGTGCGTGCATCCAGATGCCTTCCCCTTTCTGCGCGTCCCATCTTCCTACCTCTACGCCGCAGCGCCCTGCTGTTGCACGCTGAAACTAATTCATCAGCGTAATTGGGGCGGCTTCTGCCGGCTCCAATCAGCGGCCTCACATGGAGCCAAACAAACGGTCGATTTCCCCCCCCACGACAACCCCGAGGTCTGCCCCGCGGCGCTCGAAGGAGAGCGCCCCGACCAAAGGCCGTCACTGTGCAGCTCAGCATATAAAACACAGCTGGCAGAAGGAAAGGACACCACGGTTCCCCACATTTAGAGCGTTAGCGTGTGACGGAAATGTGGCAGAGCAGCAGCTACGAGCCAGCTGAGGACGAATACACATCTTAAGCTCTAACGTGCTATTTTTAACATAAGGGTATTGCTGCGATTGGGCAGCGCTTCTCCTGAAGCCTTAAACCTGCATTCTCTCTCCCGTCCATCGGGGGGCGATTCCTCGGCTTGCAAAAACGTGTCAGATTGTAAAGAAGTCACCCCCAAAAACATTGTAAGCTAAACAGTCTCAATCGCTAGTTTTTAAGTCTTTTTCAATACAGCATGATTTCATTTGGTATATTATAGCCATTTACAGTCTTGAAATAGACCATTTGTGGGGTATGCTTTAGGGCGGGGCTACCTTGTGATTGACAGGTTGAGTCGTATATGAAGTCTACGTCACTCTTCAGCAAGCCAAATTTGGTCATTTCTGACGAGGAGCAAAATGCCAAACCCGAGGCTTCTACCCGGCACCTGTGTGTCCCCGGCAGTCGACCAATCCACCTGATACAAACCACAAAAATGCATCACTAACTAGATCAGGATAAACGTACAAAAAAAGAATACAAAATCACCAATAAAAAAAAATATACAAGGCCCACAAAAGAAGTGCTAATTTCAAGGCAACCCGAGGAGTGTGGAAAACATCCCCTGATAAATGAACAAAGCAAACACATCCAGAGTGCAGTTGCTGTCACGCGTGTGGCTGTGAACATAAACACACCCAGGATGCACTGGGACCCGTGATCACAACGTCGCCGGCATACGCGGACGGTCGCCTTCCTGCGCACGTCGAGTGCAAAAACAATTAGCGGCAAGCGGTTGGAGACCTCAAGGAGGTTGTTTCGAGTGTAAGAAATAACAGCACCCCTGCGGACGGGGAGTAACGAAGCGCCGATGACGGG